GTAATTTCTTGAGACAGGTCGAATTTCAATTCCAATTCGCAACATTTATATAGAAAAATTGAATATACAAGGTGAACCACGTTTGAATAATTAACTCCTCGATAATACAAATGGAACACCCTATATATTATTCAACTTTCGTAATACTCGTGTAAAGGTGATGAATTCAACAATAGGTATCACTTATAGTGCATTGAATTAAAGACCCTCTCAAAGTAGTGTATGAATTCGTTAAAAAAAAGAGAATGATTTTTCAAAAGAAGGCTCGAGGCCGTCGAATTTTATTTCCATTGAGAGAGAGAGAGAATATACTTTATTATCATAAGAAAATATCTTGTTGACAAAGTTTCATTTAACCTATGAAGTCAGGTATATAAATATATAAAAAAGTATAAGTCGTAAAAAATACATTTGAAATAAACAATTTCACTTACTAATTAAAGTCAGTTTGTGTGTAAATATATAAAAACATATAAGTCGAACAAAAAATCCGTGTAAAATAATAAGTTTGACTCAATCTATAAAGTCGTGTCATATAAATAAACGAAATATAACTAGTACAAAAAATACTCGTCCACGTCTCAGAATAGTACTCCTCCAAAGTATAGTAAGCTCCATCAAGTAATGCTTCTTTAACAGATTTTCTAAAATTTTTGAAAGAGTTAATAGTCTTCAGGCGTAAGGGTAGGTGGTTATATATTTTTATGCCTTCGTATATAAGTGATTTTCTGGTCAGGTTCGAGGAAGGTATAGGTGTAGAGGTAGTTTGAGATTATATGTCCTACATGTTCTGTGATACAACTGGGGATTATCTAAATTGTCACGATTTTTAAAGACTAAGCACACGCTTTCTAGTACTAGTAAAGAAGGTAGAGTGAGTATTCTCTGAGAGACGAAGAGCGGCCTGCATGAATGTTTGGGAGACACCGTAATGCCCTCTTCTGTAGAATGAAAATGCTATTGAACCTTTGTTGGCTCATTGAAGAATTTCTTCGAATTCTATTAATACCGAGATTAATACGCACAATGATCCAGTTAACCGAAGACTACAGAATGAAATCCAGTAATTTTTTATTCAACCGAATTAAATTGACATGCACACCGTAAACAATCCAATTTGTGATATTTTTCTGAATTTCCATGGAAATTGTAAAATGTCAATAGTAAATTGTCTCAAACGTGGATCACCCTGAATATTCTATTTCCTCTCATCAATGTGGCAAATTGAGATTGATAATCTACATATTTCAGGAGATTCCCCAAGATAGATGCATAAGGGCTTTTCGATTGGAAAGGCATCAAGTTAATCTCAACTGAAATCCATGAAATGAAAAACCAAGCATTTCAGGACTTAATAGACTGAGAACTGGCTACATGAGTTTCAACCAGACTCGGTACAGTCACAATCATTATTTTCTGAAATGGTTCAATTCATGATATGGAACACTAAGGCACGAGTCTGCCTGGTCAGTCTGGGAGACTAATGTGGGGGCGAGAGGGGAAAGTAGCATAGTTTCGAAGGTAACCAACGTCATTGGTACAGTCATGAATTGAAAATGCTCTGGGAGCTATACCGGGTGACACAGGTTATCGGGCCACCCCTGTAACTTCTGCATTCGTCAACGGATTTTTCTGAAATTCGGTACAGTTATATAAGCAACTATTTCGGATTTGATCACATTACAATCCAATATGGCGGACTTCCGGTTTTTCTGGAAATGCCAGCAATTTTGTTTTTTCAAATGGAACACCCTGTATATTTTTACATATTCAAGTTCAACAGGTCAAAACAAGTGCAATCTTGATGTCGAATCTCATTTATTCCACAGCCTACCTAGTTGAAAAATTATTTTAACTGCAAGGAAATTCATAAACTAGTTGTTGATTTTTGAATGTATACAATTTGTTACTGCACCGAAAATCAAAAATGATATGTCATTTTGTTCCTTAATACATGTTCTAGAGAAACGGGTAGGTGGCCCATAGGGCTTCCATTTTAAAAAAAATAATTTTTGATCAGAGTGATGTGGCTGAATTGATTGCTGGATAAGTGACACAAAAAATGATTTTTCAGAAAAAATTATGTTCTTCTGTTATGTGTGACTCATTGTGAATAGTCTTGACCACATCTCATTTATCCACGAGGTAAAATGAAAAAACAATTTTAATTTGAATTTTTTCGAAAAAATGACATTTGAAATAAAGATTGCACTTGTTTCGACCTGTTGAACTTGAATATGTAAAAATATACAGGGTGTTTCATTTGAAAAAACAAAGTTGCTGGCATTTCCAGAAATACCGGAAGTCCGCCATATTGGATTGTAATGTGATCAAATCCGAAATAATTGCTTATATAACTGTACCGAATTTCAGAAAAATCCGTTGACGAATGCAGAAGTTACAGGGGTGGCCCGATACCCTGTGTCACCCGGTATAGTGCCGCACGACCGCTTCGAAGTTGCGAAAAAGTCGAAAAATCAACGTAGAGAGTCAAGTCATGAAATAAGGTGTTTATATGTGGAATGGCAGAACAGAAAGTGAAAGACAACACCATGGCAGACGACACCTACAGGGTGGTACAATTTTGATGACCAAAACTAGAGATGCAGAACTTGGACAATAACTTTCTGCCTGAAATGAACAATAAATAAGCTGTTTTCCATATGGATCTGACTTAGTGAGACATGCCTACTGTATAGGCAATTCTAATCATTATGAGAGGATTAGGAAACACAAAATAAACTAGTGTTTCCTAACCCTCTCATCAATACACTCTATACTTAGAGAAAAGTGTGGACTTCTACAGTATAAGTCTAATCATTATCATACAATCTTGAGCATACATTTGCTTCTGATCATTCAACCACGTCTCTTAATCTTCACTTCAGAGAAAGATAAATCGATTTTTAAAACTTGTCTGGAACTGTTGTGAATCATTGATTAGATAATGATAATTGCAAGAAATTAAAATAAACGGCTATGTTGTCAGGAAGTTTTTGATTGCTCAAAACATTGTTTCCTTGTGATTAATAGATAATAAGGTCCGATAGAACTGTACGCATCATTTATTGACACAATATCGGTGATTCCTGTGTATTTTAAGTTAAGTACTACAAACAAAATAGCACCTGATCTGGATAATTAAACACCTAATTCTCTAAATTAATCCAAGTAAATATATGATTTTCGGTAATTCGAATTCAGATATAATGCAATTTCAACGAAACTGGATTTGAGGAGGGGGATATGTTGGAAACAGAGTCCAATAATGAACTGTCTATTCAATATATTTGATGAGATATGAATATAACCTCGTACCCTATGTAACTGATTTACCTATTAAAAAAAATGTTCACCAGCAAACTGAATAGACGAGATAGTAGTGAGAGTGAGAACCCCTGAAATATTTACAAATAATTGGAGAAAACGAAGAACTCATCATTATCATTACAGAAATAACGAATTCCTCAGATAATTTAGTCACTCATTAAGTGTATTTATTCAAACCTGTAGTGAATTTTCAGTTATTCAAACCATTACACTATAAGAAACAACATGACATAAAGACAAATTATACAAAAAACAACTGTCTCTTGGAATGTATCGAGGTAAGTATGTGACCATTATCTGAATAATTCCATGTTCCATGTAATTACAAAATAACAACTAATAGGAAAACATACTCACCATTGTTACTTTAGGATTATATATAGACTCATTTTTCAACAATGACAAGTATGTTGATAATAAAGAAAACAAGTTAAGAACTATAATAATATTCATAATAGGAGACTGAATTGTATATCGCAGCGCCAACGTGGACACTTGTGGAACTATATGAAAGTACTTCATTTCAAAATGGTCCATTTGCTTGTGTGTATCATTTCGATTTCTTGATAGTGATTGAAGCAGAGAAAACTGTTTATTTGTATACTCTTGCAATTCGAGGGAGCTTTTCAGCAGATATTTGTTCAATTAAGTATGTTTCACTACTTCAAGTAGATACCTACATGAGACTGGCGTCATCATCTCGGTCATCACACACTGATTATTTTTATATTAAATATTGTGGTCGACTGACCAATTTGAGAATGGATGGTTTCCATGACTCAACTAGGTTCCTATTTGGGATGTATATGTTGAAGTCGATTAATCTATTTACATGCGTGTTTATGGAAGAAAAAAAATCCCCAAAGCTGGATATGTATCTGCGAATAATTGATCTACCCAGTAGGAAAAATTGAATCTAATTATTATTTGCTCTGTTTATGAATAAGGATTTGATTTATTCAACTTAATACTGTAAGTTTTCATTTCTAGGAATGAAATGCGAAATGCGACCAAATTCAATTTCGAAGTTGAGAGAAAACATTTCCATTTTCCCATTATAAACACTGATTGAAATTATCATTTTCTGTGAAAAGCAGTGAGAAAACTTTATTGAATAACATATGTGAAACGGGGCAATAATGATTCAAGATACTCTTTTGAAGAATGCAAACTCGAAAAATATCACAATGACCACTAAACTTCTGATTAAATGCATGTAAACAAGAAGTTAATGAAAATCATCAATGTACTTTCCATTAGTTACTTGAATATCTGGAAGTGGACGTATCGCTCATCTTGAATCGCCTTTACCTGCCTGAGAGCCAGTACAATATTCAAAGAAACACAACGAAGATTCATTTGCAAACATTTTATTAAAGCATAATTATCGAAACTCAACATTCATTAAATATATCTATACAAAGGAGTATTGGAATAACTGAAATGAGGATGATAAACTTATGAATAAACCTATTGTAAATCGGACAGTTCATAGAATTATTGTCCTACTAAATCATGATTTTTCATAATTATATATCGGATTGCACTTCAATCAGCTTTGCTTCACAAAATTTATTTACAATTTATCACAGTTTGCAAGAATCGGACAATCGTAAAATTTTTCAGAAATAATACGAATCATCTAACTTCAATTATTTAACAAATTAGCACTATTGATGTACTGCCGCTGCACCTAACCTTTGTCCGTACATGGAATAAGCCGAATAATAAGGTCCAAGTGCTGTAGGATTAAACGCACTGTAGGGAGAAGCTGTCAAAGAGGTCGGTAAAGTAGGCTTACCGTATGGATGGTACCTCGCAGCTGACAAAGGACTCAAAGGCGCATTAGGATAACCAGGTCGGTGCATAGATGCCGAAGAATACATCAAAGAATGATTCAACAAACTAGAAGCTGCCGAAGAAACAACAGACGAAGGATCTGATCCGTTAGTGTGAGTGCGCAGGTGCTGTAGGAGCTCCTCAGATGTAACGAATCTCTTTCCACAGTATGTTTCACCTGCTATCCAATTACAAACATACGGACGACCCAGTTGAGAGTAAGCTAAGGAAGATGGTGGTATAGGTCCAGGTTGTACCAGCGACATCGCCATGGCTAAGTTGTATTTCTGATGATCACACTGTGTACAACCTGAAGGGCAAGGTCCGGTGGCGCCACTCATCAATAACTGTTGGTTCTGCATGCTGAACTGGCAACCAGTACAATACGGGTCCTTGCAAACTGGCACCAGGGCTTCGCCACCAGAAGGAGTTTTGACCCTGGCATAACTCAAGTATGGTCCAGTTGCAGCACCCGGATATCCTCCAGCAAACATGGCAGCGTGTTGATGTGCACTGAAAGGTGCGCCCGGGAATGGCGGTCTGAACGCGGGGTTCGCTGCATCAAGTCCCGGAGGGCAACACAAAGCACTCAAATGTCCGCTTAAACCACCACTTAGTCCCGATGAGAGAGCACTGGGTTTGTATGTACCAAGAGAAGTGTCTTTTGAATGTCCTTGTAGTATTTCGAGGCCCGAACGTATAATTGGGCTAGCGCCTCTTGCCGACGGAGAAGATGATTTCTCTTCTGGTGAAGTTTTTCCAGTTTCCAAGTTTGGAGTTGCGGAAGTGCTACTGGCAGGTGAAGCAGTTTTCCTTCCTGGACTCTGGTTGTCGTACTTTTTATCTTCCGTCGCATTCTGTATACTGGTTTTGGATGATGGACGGTTTTCTTCTGTTTTTCTGGACGACACGTTATTTTCGTATGGCTTAAAAACTGGTTTAGTCTCAGGCGTTAAACGTTGAGACGTTTTTTCTATTCGCTCTTTGCTCACGTTAGGAGAACTCCTTACATCATTGGCTTTTTTGGATTTATCCAAAGAGGATATTAAAGGTTTTGTTGAAGGGCTATCAGCTCCTATTTGACTGCAAGTTTGGGCTAGTAGTGCGAGTGGACTCTTTTTCGCATCCAGCTGAAACAAAAAATAACTATATTTAAAACGACATCTATATTAAACGAGGAAACATGTTATTCATAAAAAATACAATTCATCAATACATTTTCAAAATGAAATGTTCTATCTAGTCTCCACTGAAAAAACAGCTGATTCATGTAAGAGGTACTCAATATCAGGATGATGTATTGAAACACAACCAATAAATTTCATTGGAGAAACGTATATGGATATTTTTCCAAAGTACAGATTCCAATAATCGGGCTTATTTTCATTGTTTCAATAAATCGAGTAGGTACCTGTATTTATTCAACGGTTCTGCTAAATGAATTTCGAAATGAAAGAATAAAAATAGGTAGATTTTTTTAAGAAACTCACCGTAGTTGGTAATGGAGACAGGTAATCCGGTTGAAGATACTGATGGGTACCACTTGAAGATAGCATACTTCCACCTTCTAACACAACCATTTGAACTAATCAACTAGTCTATCAATCACTACAAAAATGCAACACAACGTTCTCTGACCGACGGAAATGCGTTGGGATACGACGAGTTCGAAGTTGCTATTCGATATGAGGCCAGCTCGAAAACAGAGCTCACAGTGAAATAGTAGGCTAGTGCGCATGTCTAGGGATCTCTTCTCTCCTCTCTTCGATCCCACCAGTCTGTTCGTAGTCCGTAGCATGACAAAGCGTTAATACCGCCACGTTTCTGGCCTGTCGGCTCCTACCACCCATGAAGCTGGTGACGATGACAGACCCTCTTGGAGCTTTGATCTCTGCCGACTTTATAGTGTCCATGGCTGGGTCGGAGTAATCAGTAGCATACAAAACGTGGAAAAGAATAACAAATACCGATGGAACAATACGATGATAGAAAGATAAAGAGCGCGGCATGGAATTATTACAGGCCGTCTATCAAAAACCGGGTTCGTGTTATTGCCAGCTTTATTTATTTTATAGCTGTGCCTGTTATTTCTGTCATAACTTATATAAACGTGTCAGTGTATTTTACCTGATTCTCTTATGGAATGGGCGTCGGCTCTTATCTTGTTAATTTGAATTTTTTATGAGAAATGGACAGGTTTTTCGGTTGGAGAACTTCATCACATGACATCAGAATGTTTTGAAAGTTAATTTGATTGAATTTCAAAGGTAGTTTATGAATGCGAAGATGTCATGAGTTCATAGATCTTCTCTAGTAAGTTTATCTGGACAAACTTAATCAATAAAGTTTGTTGATCTTCGTTTTTACAATGAATAGGTCTCTATATGAATGAAATAGCGTGATATGTATATTTTATTAAAAGCATATATACCGTGCATCCTTGACCTGTTATGTTAGCAAATGTCAGGGTAATTCAACAAGACAAACATTCGAAAATATGTCATATAGATACTGGGTGATCCACTTGAGACAACAACCCCCAGAAACTTTTATAAAATATATAAAACAACAACGAAACACTTCGGTTTTTATTGAACACCTTTTGATGCTATATAATAGATAAACATACTTCAACCCTCTCCCCCCCAGAGCAACCACTCTATAATTATATTTGGAGGTGATGAGATAATCACGAGAAAAAACTGAAAGTCTCACTCCAAACAATTTTTTATGCAAGACACTGAGAAGTGTCAAACTAGAACAGAATTTTCAAAGAAAAATATTTTGCATTTTTATGTTAAGAACGGGAGCAGGTTCGTTCCCGAAACGTCCAAACATAAGAAAAAATTCGATATATTTCCAAAATGTTCCTACGCTTAATTTTTTTTCTTAAACAAATAAGGGTCATGCACTGACAAGCTATTGGATTTTTCTTTTAGCCTCCCTGATAAATAATAATTTGTTAAACGCAGTGACATTATGGGGCAAATCATCTGATTTGTCCTATACTACATATATACAGGGTGTTTCATAATTGAATGCTGATCCTAAAGGGCGATAATCCTTGGATGATTTTAAGAAAAATTCTTTATGTGAACATATAGGTTCGTATAAGAGCTTCGTTTCTGAGATACAGGATGTTGAAATTTAACAAAAAAATAATTTATTCCCCAATATCTCTGAAACCGCTCTGGCTTTTTTCTTCAATTTTGGTACATGCCAAGTATGCATAGAAATACATTTGGAGGGGATAAAGAAGCCTCTACCTCTAAAAACGTATCACCCTGTAGATTTTGAAAATCTTTAAAATGCTTGAAATGATGATCATCAAGGAAGTATTGACCACACCAAATTTCATAATGATTTTTTGAAAAGTAAGCGAGATATTTCAATCAATAGAAAAAAATAATTAAACTTTGACCCACTGTAGCTCCGCTACTGAACGGGATCGGACTGATTTTTATGAAAACTTTTTTGACTAAAAGGATGAGATCTATCTCCCATTTCAGTTTGTGCCTTAAAACCTGAATCAGCCCGTATATTAACACTCTGACAGTGGTATAATCAAAATATTTGAAATATTTTTGTGCACATTTGAAAATATTTCTCTTGTTATTTCCTAGCATTCAATCTTCATCCCCCAGAGCTAGTTTCTATTCTATAAATGACAGATTTCAAATGACACCAGAGAAAAAAATCTTCGGGTGCCAAATAGTGTGAGCATGCAGGCCATTAGCATCCTACGAGTTATCCAATTGTATGAGCAATTTTGGGGAAGCATTTATCTCACATGTATAATACGCGAGATAATACGTTAATACGAAATGAGGTGGAGCACTATCTTGCTGGGAATAAATTTAATCTGCCAAAAGATTTGATTTACCATCATCATCGAGATCTGTGAGAGAATAGCTATCCGAAAATTCCACGGAAAAAATGGGTTAGAACGACAGTAATGACAGTACTATAATGAAGGTGTTAATACTACTTATATAAAATTCTGATAAGAATGTTGAGATTGAAAACCCACCGCATACCAATAAAAAACTGATATGTATAAAAATCGACAACCAGACAATATTCTCGTCGTATAAACTGAACATTCCCACTGGTTTTTACTATTTCCGACATAATGGAGCTAACTCTCACGTCGACACACAAAGCGAAGCCTTCATTTTTTTATCGCTTGGAGCGCACGAAAGGGAATCCCTATAATGTTCAAAGAACATCGTGCGTTCCTAGGGAGGATAGGGATAGGAGGTAGGTATTGGAATTTTTTTGACCTTCTGGAGGTTATATGTTGTTGGGAATACTTCCTCAGGCAATGAATTCCAGAGCCCAGCCGTTCTATGGATGAAGGAGTTTTGATAAAGTGCTGTTCGACATCTTTCGAGGTTGACAACGAAATGATGTGCTGACTGGTATTGCTAGTGAAGGGATGATAGCACAGATTTCCGAAGAACATTTTCCGTGGAAGTATCGATAGCAAAGTGAAAGGTCGCCGACCTTTCTACGGTGTTCCAATGATGTCAAAGAATGAGTGAGTGTGGCGTCACCCACCAGGCGGATGGCTCTTATCTGGATGGAATCTAAGAGCATCAGCGTATGTTTTGGTGCTGAACCCCATATGTGGGAACAGTATTCTAGAACAGGCCGTATCTGTGCTTTGTAGATCGCATGAGAAGCTGTTGAGGTATAAAGTAGCTTTTCGCACGGAACAAGAATCCGAGTTTTTGTGAAGCAGCTTTTGCGATGGATCTGACATGATTATCCCATGAAAGAGTGTTGCTGATGGAAATACCAAGCATAAATATAGTGGGCTTGGTGGGGATGGTGGTGGCAGACATTACAATGTTGGGCATACTGAGTTCCGCCTTTCTAGAGAAAATACAGACTTGAGTTTTGGTGGCGCTGAATTCTACTAGGTTGTTGGTTCTCCAGGCTGTGATTCCAGCAAGGTCTTCTCCAGAATTCCAATTTCTTCCCAAAAAACTAAGAACTCACGGCGCAGGCAGTTCAATGCTGTCAATGACGATCTTGCTGATATTACAGCCTGGGGAACCAATAACCTATAGTTGAATTCAACACCACCAGAACTGAACCCTGTATTTTTTCTAGAAAGGCGGAACTCAGTATATAATATGCCTGATATAACAATGTCTGATGGTACCACCGTTCTCACCAAGGAAAATGTTCCTCAAGAATCTTTGCTATCATTCCATCACTAGCGATACCACTCAGAACTTGACAGGCCTAGTCAGCACATCCTTCCGTTGTCAACCTTGAAATATGTCGAACAACACTTTACCAAAACTCGTTCGCCTGTAGAATGGCTAATTTGCATTCCATTTATTTTGATATTTCATCACATATTCTGTCAATTTACACCCATTTTTGCTAGATGTTAATAAGTAAGAACATTTTTTTCTTTGTAGATCATCTTTATTCAGTAATATGACTGATGATCACCATTTGAATGGTCGAAACTTGTCTCCTCTAGGAGCATGGTACAGCTGTCTTCAGATACTTAGTTGAAGACGGCTGTGAGCATGGACTACTTCAGAAGATTTTTTATGATAGTAATTTGATAATCGCCTTTGTGTAGTAGGTATATGTTACAGGATTTTGAAGCTTCTATGGAAAATCGTCTTTAAAACAATATCTGAAGAATATGGAAAATTGTAATGGTCGTTGCCTAGCATTCATATTATGAGGGTGAATTCAGTTTTGCTTTCCGAACTAATTATGATTGTGTTTTCTTAATAGATATATTAGAGTTACAATTATTGACCAAATCGTCCACGAAATTCAGGATATTGATGCGGTATAAGTCATTGTTTTGGTTCAAGATATAATGAGAAATATTACAAAATGATGTCTTGTTTTCTAAGATCAACTTTGATAATCGTTAGGTACCTATGTCTTCATTTATTTATCTTTATAGAATATTCAAGAGCTCTTCTTGGGTCTTCTTAGAATTTGTATAGCTTCCAAACGACAATCACTAGAGCAAAATAATTTCTTCAGTGAAATAATATCTCTGGTCATAGATTGAGTTCGTATAATTCGAATTTTTTTTTATCGCTTGGAGCGCACGAAAGGGAATCCCTATAATGTTCAAAGAACATCGTGCGTTCCTAGGGAGGATAGGGACAGGAGGTAGGTATTGGAATTTTTTTTGAGCTCTTGGAGATTATATGTTGATGGGAATACTTCCACAGGCAATGAATTCCAGAGCCTAGCCGTTCTATGGATGAAGGAGTCTTGATAAAGTGCTGTTCGACATCTTTCGAGGTTGACAACGAAAGGATGTGCTGACTGGGCTTGTCTAGTTCGTCTGATTGGTATTGCTAGTGTAGGGATGATAGCAGAGATTTCCGAAGAACATTTCCCGTGGAAGTATCGATAGAAAAGTGAAAGGTCGCCGACCTTTCTATGGTGTTCCAATGATGTCAAAGAGTGAGTAAGTGTGGCGTCACCCACCAGGCGAATGGCTCTTCTCTGGATGGAATCTAAGAGCATCAGCGTATGTTTTGGTGCCGAACCCCATATGTGGGAACAGTATTCTAGAACAGGCCGT